CTGTCCCTTCCTCCTCTCCCTCCTTTCCTCCCTCCCTCTTTCTCCCCCCTCTCTCCCCCTTCCCCTCTGCCTCTCTCCCTCTCTCTCTCTCACACACACACACACCACTCTTCTCCCGGTTTTCTCTGTCTGTTGTCTGTCAGTCTGTCAGACTTGCCCCCCCCCCCACTCCCTCCAATTCCTACTGCCCCCGGCCCGATGCCTGATTAATCCACTAATGGCGGCTGGGATACTACACTGATAAAAAAGAGATAAAAAGAACCGCTGCAACGCTAGTGCATCATGAGCACAGTCTGTCACAAAAAAACGGTTCTGGCTGCTTCGTAATTGCGAACGATTTCCTTTATATAATGCGAAGATACTACGTCGTAGGCTCGGTCGTAGGCATACAAAGTAGACAAACCAAAGCCTTCACAAGAAATTATCAGTGCAGTGCAAAGTTCCAAACGTAGCAGCCGAGACCATGACTGAAAGATCGTTCCGCCCCGCACTCCAAAACTAATAATGAGAGAGGAAACTTTATCCGACTTTATCTGAAACGAAATGGCCGACCGCAGCACAAAGAACGCAAAAAGACAAAACGAAATGTGAAAAGGGTTTTTTTAAAGAGAGAATAAACAAAAAAGACCCTGTTATTCAGTCAGTTGGCGCGATGAAAAATAAGCGATCACGGTGCTGACCGCGGGCCGGCGGCGGCGCGGCAGAGCGAAAAAATGACGAACACTGTTTCGGGTTAGGGAGGGTGACAGGGTGGGGAGGTTGTCGGCAAAAGAACATTATAGAACGGCCATTTAACGGTGTCAGCAACAAAAACAGCCGCCCCCCCCTCCCCCCGCTTTTCTAAAAAGAAAAGCAAAGGCAATAACGAGAATGACACATATACACACCCTGGTGCACAACACTGAGATACGCACTATAGAGAAGTGCGGACGGGGTGCAGCAGGAGTACATACCGCACCGCGCTGCACCCGCAGCGAAAACTTTCCCCCGCCCCGCGCCCCCACCCCATCCGGTCTAATTTGCTGCACGCTCGCCGCGCGGCAGCGGCAGCATTGCCGCGGGAAATATGAATATTAATTAGTTGTCAAATCCGGCATCGGGACGCGCGGCTGCCGCTATGCGGCGAGCCGCAACTCGATGTGCCGCTTCCCTCGAAACGACGCGCAAAAGGAGAAACGAAATCTAAAATAATACGCGGGAAAACAGGGATTGTAAACGATAACCAGTTCGGCGGTGTCGAAGGCAGCGGCTCTGCTCTGCTCTCCCTGTCGGCTGAAAAAAACAAGAAAGAGAATGACTCGGGAAAGCCGCGCGCGCGAACCAATTCGGCTTCGGTCTCCTCAATCAGTCAGTCTGTTTTCGCGTCGCACCGCGGTCGCGTTCAAAGCGCGCATTACTATTATTGATCCAGCGGAACAGCTTCCAATCCCAAACCTTTTGCTTTACGGCTTGTTTTTAGAATTATTATTCCTTTGTGTCCCCACCACCCCCACGGGGCAAAGAAAACACAGTGCTGCTGCAGCAGGGTGGTGGAACGCGCCGGAAAGCGTCGCGCTGGCTGTGAGGCGAGGGTCAGACGTGCTGCAGCGTGTGTGGTCTCTCTCTTTCTCTCTCCCTCTCTCTCGCTCCCTACACACACATCCTCTTCCCCACTCACTCACACGCGCGCACTCATAGAGGCGCAGGGCGTCGCTTTGAGGAGAGCTCGACGTAATGACGCTAGTATTTCGCCCTCTCTGCGGTAAAACACGGCCAGGCAGGAAGAGGGAGCGAGAAAAAGTTAGAGAGAGAACCAACAGCAAAACCCGCGCTGCTCTCAAAGGTGAAAGGGAGAGGAAGCGCGCGGGATGGAGAGTAGCGGAGAGAGTAAGAGAGACGACCATACGCGACGAAGCCCCATTTCTGTAAACCTGAAAATACACACGGTTAGGGATAAAGCATGCTATTTTTGTGGGCAGCATGTGGACAATCCATATCCATGTAAACTCTTTTTAGATCATGGAACATAATTCTCCTGCAATTCCAGTAAAAAATTTGTGTGACGCCCGTTGGGGGATGGAGAGAAAACGGAGCAAAAGAAGGTGAGGAAGGGGAGAGTAGAGCGACCTGCTACTGAAACAGACTTGGACCCGACCCACACAGCGGGCCCAACACTACGGGCCTCGCGACAGACAAAACGACGTACAAACTGTGATATACACTTCACTTCGCCCCCGAAGCCCGCACCGACCTTCCCGCCCCAACCCACCCACCCCTCTCGCCCGGGACCCTCCACCAGTGTCTTGCAGTTGTAAAATTTACAGTGCCATCATTTTCGCACAACTAAAAGGGTCTGTGGCGTGGCGTGACAACCAGCAGAGTGTGAGTGTATGTGTGTGTGTGTGTGCGTGTTGCAGTCGTGGGACGACTACAAGCTCAAGTGGGACCCCAGGGAGTACGGTGGCGTGGAGATGCTGCACGTCCCCTCTGACCACATCTGGCGGCCGGACATCGTCCTCTACAACAAGTGAGTCACATTAGTGGACCTCCCCTGCACCGACCTGTGCTGTGTGCCCTCTGCTCCGAGGGTGAAAAAGAGCCCTGGTGTTTGCCGGCTATTTGTCCTGCCGAATACTACGTTATTGCAATGGCATTGGGAACTGGACTGAATTTTTACTGGAATAATTTGTTTGTCATTTATTCAGTAATTATTGATGGCGAGATGCTAATGTCGGACAATTCCATGTCACACGTGTGACAGTATTTTCATTTTTATTGCTTCTGCTTCTGGAACAACAATATTTCTTTTCGATTGGCTGAAAAAATTAGCTGCTTGGGGACAAATCAAATTTTGTGAATGGCCTCATCCGGCCGTGAGCAGTTTAGCCCCCCCCCCCCCCCCGGTTGTCTGTGTAGTGAAATATGGAGCTATAACACATACGTTTAGGGCCGCGGGGCCCTCGGACGGTCACGGCATATGTTGCGTCGCACATCTAAAAAAAAGTGTGTTCTTAAGTCAAGAACTGTACTTTATACATTTTTGAGAACATATTCTTACTTTAAATCCTATTTTTGATCCTTTGAACAAGAGATCGGTCTCAAAAATTTAATTACAGTTCTTGAATTGAGAACACATTTTTTGGGGGTGCAGCCATCCGTGCGTGCGTGCAGAATCTATATTTCTTTCTTTCTATGTGTCTGTCAGTGCGGACGGTAACTTCGAGGTGACGCTGGCCACCAAGGCGACGCTGAACTACACGGGTCGCGTTGAGTGGAAGCCGCCCGCCATCTACAAGTCGTCGTGCGAGATCGACGTGGAGTACTTCCCCTTCGACGAGCAGACGTGCGTGATGAAGTTCGGCTCCTGGACCTACGACGGCTTCCAGGTCGACCTCCGCCACATCGACGAGGTTCGCGGGTCGAGCGTCGTCGACATCGGCGTCGACCTGAGCGAGTTCTACACGTCCGTCGAGTGGGACATCCTGGAGGTGCCGGCCGTGAGGTAAGTTCCACGGCGGTGCTAGTCGGCACTTGGGGAGCGCCTGGCGGAGTAGGGTAGGCCAACCCGCAGCACAGGCGAGCGTGCACAGAGCCGGGTTGCCTACGTGCCAGGCGCTCTCGCTGGCTCCACCTCCTCTTCCGAAAGTGTTCGCTCGGTAACAACTCTGTGTTCTGCAGGAACGAAAAGTTTTACACGTGCTGCGACGAGCCTTACCTCGACATCACCTTCAACATCACCATGCGGCGCAAGACGCTGTTCTACACCGTCAACCTCATCATCCCCTGCATGGGCATCTCTTTCCTCACCGTCCTCGTCTTCTACCTGCCGTCGGACAGCGGCGAAAAGGTAAAGAGGGCCGTTAGAGAGAGATAGAAAAATAATAATCACATTTCATTTATTTATTTTTCTCTATCGGCGAGGCGTCGTCGTCGTTTGGTCATCACGGCCATAGCCTACCCCATCCGGCCCCACTCACTGGTGACGTGCCGGTCCCAAAGTAGATCGCAAGCGAGGCCGTGTCGGGGCCGTGCCGGGGCGGTGCCGGGGCCCTGATGGCCGTGCCGCCCCATTCCAGCGGCACAATGCGCGCGGCCGGGCCCGAGCCGCTGGAGCGCCGCTGGAGCGCCGCTGAAGCGCTCTCCACCAAGGTCAACAAGGCCCTCGGCGAGCCCCGCACCGCCCGCGCCCGGCCTCGCCTCTGTGCCGCGCCAGAATTATTGCCCCACACACGAGTCATATCGCTCCAGATGGATGATGGGGGGTGCGGGCCACTCCCTCTGCTTCGCCAGACCAAAGCCCAATAAATAATCATTATTCGTTGTGTTTTTTTCTGTCTTCCTCTCCCCGCCAGGTGTCACTGTCCATCAGCATCCTGCTGTCGCTCACTGTGTTCTTCCTGCTGCTGGCCGAGATTATCCCTCCCACTTCCCTCGTCGTGCCCCTCCTGGGCAAGTTTGTGCTCTTCACCATGATCCTCGACACGTTCAGGTACACAAATGTAGCATCGTGATTTGCATCGTACCCGCTGTTTGTTCTTTGGGTTTGTTCCAATACTTCGTGACTTTTAGAGGGGTGGGGCAAATATTATGGGGTCCCTAAAGGGTCAGGGCCATTATTGAAGCCAACTAGACCCCATAGTATTTGTACCCCAGGGTACAAATATCATGGGGTCTCAATGGTCTTCAATGAGATTCCTGACCCTTTTGAAATCCCATAGTATTTATACCCCAGGGTACAAATATCACGGGGTCTATATGGACTCCAGCGATGTTCCTGATCCTTTCGGAACCCCATAATATTTGTACCCCCCCTCAAAGTCACGTAGTATTGGAACGACCCCTTTTTCAGCCTTGATCGCCGACGCCCTCCTCTCTGCCTGCAGTATATGCGTGACGGTGGTGGTGCTCAACGTGCACTTCCGGTCGCCGCAGACGCACACGATGGCGCCGTGGGTGCGGCGCGTCTTCATCCACGTGCTGCCCCGGCTGCTCGTCATGCGCCGGCCGCACTACAACCCGGACCGGCGGCGCTGGGAGGGCGGCCTGCCGGCCTCGGCCTCGGCGTCGAGCGCGGGCATGGGCCCCCGCGTCATGGTGCGCACGTGCAACGGCCTCGAGATGCGCGACAGCGCCGAGCGAGAGACCTCGGCCTCGGACCTCGTCGACTCGTACCCGCAGGGCTACTCGCAGGGCTACAGCCACGACGACGAGTTCAGGTGAGACGCCTCTCAAGGCCCTTTTCTTCTTCTCGCTTTTTAAAAACATGTCAATTAAACCGTTAATAAGTCAAAAGAGATCAAAATTTACGTTCATCAGAACTCGAAATTCACGTCTGTCTGACCGACCTCAAATAGGGAGAGGGTGTAGGGTGTGCAAACTACGGCTTTTTAGGGGATGAGTTCAGGGCCCTCCAATCGGGCTCACGCTTAAAATCTGAAGCTATTGGGTGCTGTAATTGATCCACTGAAGAAAATCATATCCATGTGGATACTTTTTTTTTTAACCACCACCCAATCACACTCGGTTTACAAATTTGATTTCAACGTTTAAAAACACGCGAAAACGCCGTACTTTGTGTAAGTTGCCTGACGAGCTGGTTGTGTTTGGCGCTCAGAGAGCTGGGTGTTTCCGGGACGCTGACGGGCAGCACTTGCCGCATCCACGGGACGCCGCCGCCGCCGCTGCTGCTCGGCGACCTGGCCGGGCTTGCCGGCATGGCGGGGCTAGACTCGCCCGGGGTGGGGCCTCCCCTAGACCCGCTGCTGCCCGCCTCACCGCTCAACGCCTCCCCGCCGCCGAGGCCCTCCAGCCGGCCGCCGCCCGAGATGCCGCACTTGCGCGCCTCGAGCTCCAGGCACTGGCACCACTGCCCCGAGCTGCACAAGGCCATGGACGGCGTGTGCTTCATAGCGGACCACACCAAGCGGGAGGAGGACTCGACCAGAGTGAGTACTACACTCAATAGGGTTGGAAATTTCCGAAATTTTCAGAAAATTTTCAAAAAAATTATTGGTTTTCAACTCTAACGCTGAAAAATGTCGCACCTGCAGGTTGAGTGAAAAAATTTACTCACTTGTAGGTGAGCCACTGAAATAATCGAAGGGGCAACAACTCCGGTAATCATGTGTCTATCACCGCAGCAAGAATTGAACCCTTTCCGCTTGGAATATGGACGTCACAGTGGTTCAATTCTTGCTGCGCTGATAGTACACCTGCCTGGGAATCATCAGGATAAACATCAATCGAAATCAATAGAAATCACTTAAACTTAGGGGAAAGCTAGTTGAGGTTCGAAATAGTCGAAATGAGCGTTTTCTACCTCTAGGAAACCTAAGGAATAAATAAAAGCGGACAGGATATCACCGGGAATCAAGAATTTCAGGAATCATGTGTACACATCAATAGGAAGTTATTGCCCCCTCTGAAATAATCACACACCTGTAGGTGAGCGACCAAATATTCACACGACTTGTAGGTGAGCGAATGAAAGTTCGCTCTCTTTGGAGAGGTAGCCATTTACTCGCCCCCGTGTGTATGAATGGTCGTTCATACGCCTGCCTGCAGGTGTGTGTGAACTTTTTCACTCGCCTGTAGGTGTGCGACATCCGTACACTTGGATTTCCAGAGTACCCATCCCTTATTAAAAAAAAACACACAAATCAAAATCTTTTATGTATAATGAATCGGGATCTCCCTCTCTTCCCTTCCTCCAGGTGAAAGAAGACTGGAAGTACGTGGCCATGGTGCTGGACCGGCTGTTCCTCTGGATCTTCACGCTGGCGGTGCTCGTGGGCACGGCCGGCATCATCCTGCAGGCGCCCACGCTCTACGACGACCGCATGCCCATCGACGTGCGCCTGTCCGAGATCGCGCAGACCACGGCCAAGCCGCACATAGCCTCGGGCCTCTGAGGCACTAGGCTAGGACACGCACTGGACTGTCTCGGCCTCGGCCCAACATCAGCGTGCGCTGGACTGGACTTTGCCCTTGTGTACTGCACGCAGTGCTGCAGCACCCTCGTCGCCCGCCGGTGTGCAGGGTGTGGCCCCCTCTCTCTCGCGACACAAACGAAAAGCACAAACTACATGTAAGCCGACGACGTGCGTTGTACTAACTGTACTACTATTTAGTTCGGTCCGTTATTCATAGGCAAACTGCTGCTTTCTTTTCCTAAATACAACGTGGGATTTGTTGATATTTTACCAAAAAAATGATAAACGTTGCACGTCTTTCTCATGGTGTTCATTTGTGATAGCCGCGGATCATTAGGTTGTAAGTAGATGAATTTAAATAAATGATTTACCATCATATTGCTCAGAAGTGATATACATTGTTAAATAAATTGACGATTGTAAATTAAGTTGATGGCGAATCTCGTCGGACGTTATTTCTAAACGGATCCAATATATCCGTCACGAGAAAGGTTATGTATATATACAAGAAGACACAAAATATTGTGAATCTAGAGACCAAAGTCACGGAATGCGAAGAGTAATAATTATTGTTATTATTTGAAATGATTACTATATCTTAACTTCTCCTAAACCAATAAGTTTAAGTTGTTAGTTTGTTGGGCTGTGCGCAGCGGGCCTGGCACTGCTCAATAGCGTGTTCCACTGCCATCATTTAGAGCTGCCATTAAATGAAAGAAAGAGCTGTGGGCTGTACTCGCGAGAAGCACTTCCACGTGATGGGGGATTACGATTACACCTATATCTGACGTGGCAGTGGTTCTAGCAGCGCAGCCAGCCGTTCCCATCCGTACTAAAATTACCTCCTCTCCTGGACAGACACGTCGCTATAACTTTTCTTATTTTTGTTCACATACTGCGTTTTGGTGTACCATTGGAAATCGCGCCTTCACGTTGTCTTTGCCCTCATCCGGGCAGCAGAATATCCCAGAGGGGTGAATCACTTTTATACTGACGTAATTTATTGGTTTGATATTTTGTTTAAAAACTGTCGTTTTGTTGACGTATTTATTTATATGATTTGAATTTCAATGTTTAAAATATCAGAAAAGCTGTACCTACTCGTGTTCCCCTCTCCTTGGTAGAAGTGACTCACCCCTTGGACTATCAAGACAGGAAATTTATAGAATCTCGCTTATTTTATGAAACTAATCGGGAAAAATGGAGACGAGCGATGTCGGGGCCGAACCTTTTCTGAAAGGGGGGGAAATTCATAGACTGTAAAGAGAATTGGTTGTATCTGAACGGATATCTCTGAAGAAAAAAATATAGCTCTATTGAAGGAATTAACCTTCGTATCTCTTATTTATAGTAACCTTTGATTTCTCTAACAAAAAGATCAAGGAACGGATCATGAAAGCAGATGATACTTATTTAAGACCAGTATTTCTTTTGTTCTATTTGCTGACAGAACCATCAAGCTATACAAAACTGGGGAAATGGACTAATACATATTTTCAAAGGTCATGATCTGGCTTTTGTCATGTGCTTTTGTCCATGGCGGCGAAAGTTATTGGAGATGAAGTGGTGAAGGCAGAGGCACGAAGAGGTGAGGAAGAACACCCGCAAGGAAAAAAAGAGCTAAAAAAGTGACAGGCCAAAGTGTCTTAAAAGTGTAAAAAAAGTATACAAAAAGTATGAAAAAAGTTTGCCTACAGTGCCACCAAAGTGTTGCGGTTCCAATCTGCTATATTTTAAGTATACCTAATGTATACTTTCTACAAAAGTATACCTGAAAGTGTCATTTGGATACACTTATTTCCATGCGGGCACTCCTCTCTCTGTCTCCTCAGCACTGAACTGCAAGCGGTCGGCGCTGACAACCCACTTGTCGCCTCGGTCAAACAGTGTCATTGTTCAACATTAAGACTCTGAAAGAAAAGCTAAGGAAGAATTGTATTATTGTAAATCACAAAAAATAAGTTAATTTCCTCTAGGCGTGAAGTGCAGCTTGCAGGACTAGCGCAGGCTTGCGAACGTGACAGGGAAAAACTCCTCTTACCTACGTCAGTCTGTCAAGACAAAGAACTTATAAAGCTGATAAGATTACGGCATTAGCAGCAGCAATCGCGACAATCAATTATAGAACTCAAGCACTCAAGCAGTTCAGGAGGGCAAATGTGTGGAGAGGAGGGGGTATGCGCGGATTAAGGTCCAGTTGGGGGGGGAGGGGGTACTGTGGGTTGCCCTCGTTCACGTGGAGTGGGAGCGGCAAGATGCTAACAGAAGATGATAGGGAGTAAAGATCTCTGATTGGTCGAAAGCTTCGCGCCTTTAGTACGTTCACAGGTAGTGGGGGTAAAAGCTCGACCAATCAGGAACCTTTATGATCTACCCGCGCTATTCTTAGGGATCATCTGGAAGGCGCGTCCGTCATTAGCTGTTACGAACCAGTCAATTTTAGCTTCGCTGCGACCGAAAAACCTTGGGCCACATGGGGCCTCACGGTTAGTCAAGTCAAGCTCTCATAGCGCCTGATGGCTAGGCAACATCTTGCCAGCAGCGCATGCCTGTACTGTTGGATTGCCTACCCTGAGTCTTGCAGGCGCTGAGTTCCCCTAATTTGACGAATGAATATGAGAATAACTGATTTCCCTCCAGACACTCTTATAGTACCTGGAAAGAATCGACTCTAGCCGGGGCAGATAATCAAGGAATGACTGCACACAGGGTGTTCATTGTTCATTGTTGGACTGTTACCCAGATGCGGCCGAAAATGCAACAAGTGGTGTTGAACTATGTCGCTCCAACCCCTGTCTGGTAGAAACGGGTCCCGGCCGACCCCTCACCTAAGCAACCCCAAAAAAAGTTGTCGCCATCTTTTGAAATGTTGTTCCCCGCACTTCAAAACGCACAAATCAGTGCATGTTGCGTGAACAAAAAAAAAAAAAAAAATTGCCGTCAGCGACTGGGTAGAATGGTTCGTTCCCTGGAGCGACAGCCCGTATCTCGCCTCTCTGGCTCAGTCGCGGTAGAGCGCCCGCCCAGAGCGTCGGGGGTCGACGGTTCGACTCCAGACTCGGCAAGATTTTTCGCCCTCCCGTTTGGCTCTGGTGTAAGGCCTCAGAGCCGACCTGAAGTTCAAGTAGAGTTGGAACACGGCTTACCTCCGTTGGCTGGGTAGCTCTGGTGGCAGGGTCGCTGTTACTGTCGAATGGACTCGGCGCTCGGGGTCATGGGTTCGAATCCCGCGTACCCCTGATCGTAAGGCCTCTGAATCTGGGTTTCAGTCTTGCTCACCTTGCGACACCCGTAAGTCCAACAACCAAAAAAGTACGGGGGCTGGTTCTGACGAATTGCGCGTCATAGCGGCCGCTGTGGATAAAGCTCCGGTTCCCTTGGTCACCGCAGACGCCCACAGACTAAGCCTGGCGGGCCCCCTTCGGGGGGCTTAACTTTTCCTTTTAAACGGACACGTTTCTACCAGACAGGGGTAGGAGCGACATAGTTTAACACCACCTTGCATTTTCGGCCGCATCTGGGTAATAGTCCTACAATGAACACCCTGAGTAGTCGGCTCTCAGCGCGCGCCCGCCACACACACACAAAAAATCGTGACTTCTTAAAAACTGCACGCATCGCTTTCAGACTAAATGCGAATTGAAAGCATAGATGGGCGCTAATATTGCCGTTTGGCGCCGGTGTGCGCTCAGGAACAAGCCCATCTTCGCCTCCAACTAGACGATGCAGTCCTTTTCGGTGTGAAGGATTATTCTGAATCGGGTGGGTCTGCGACTGTCCAAAAAATTGCTAGTTACTCTTAAAAGATGCCGTTAGTGGTTGGCCTTTAAACCTTTCAGACCTTTAGTTTTAAATCGATGCGGTGAGTGGTTTTTCTGTACTGACCATTTTTAAACTAAAGGTCCATAATAAACAAAGATAGCACCCAAAAAGGTGCATACTCAAAGGCCACATTTCCTAAACCGTGGGTTCGTTTCGCATTTAAACAAGAATAATTGTTAACGTGTTTTTTTTTTTTTTTTAAATTACAAAACACTAGTCTTTTGTAGACTTTTTTTTTATCAGGGGCGCCCTTTTGGAGTTTCGCCTTTCCTCGAACTCTGGTCACGTTCCGCGTACTCACTCCCGTCTTGATGAATGCCGACATTGCTGACGCAAAGGCGTCTCTCTCACGCCCCTTATCAGATCGATCAGTTCCATAATCAGTGCCTCCCAGTCCTCGATGTGACACCTGCCGCTGGCCTATATTATCAACTTCGTGCCACCGCCGGGCAACAGTCGTCCGCAGCTCTCGACCCGCTCCCAGAGAAACCTCGACGGTTTGGATCCCAAAAGCTGACACATCTCCACACCCGCAAGCAAAAATGTCGACCAAAGTCATGTTGATCGTCGCACTGCTCGCCATCGCGCTGGTGTTCGCCCAGGCCATGCCGCCCCAGAGCCTCCTCCAGCCCACAGGTGAGCCAACGTTGAGAGGTAGAAGCCGACGCTTCGAACTCCGGTATCGAAAGAGGGGGGGGGGCATCGTCCATCTTCTTGTGTGATCCGATTGTGTCGTTCGGCCAAAACACAACGTTTGGACCCGAAGGCAAATCTCTCGCTGGCGCGGTAGCTTAAACTTGCTAAACTCTTCATCTTCCAATTTTCAGAGTCGTCGACGGCAACCTCGTCGACACCCGTGAACGGCGACGGCGGCAACGGCGGCACCGGCGGCTGGTGCTGGAGCGGCTCGTCGTGCAAAGAGGGCTGCCAACGGGCGGGCTTCCCCTCGGGCTACTGCTTCGTCTTCCGCTGCTACTGCAGCAACGAGTAGGGGCGGCGCACCAGCCTCGACTCGACTCCTCGACCAGCGGCCGAGAAGAATCTCACCCCAGTAATCTCAAAACTTGTGCGACGGACGGAAATGCTTGAAATACACGTGTGAAGTGTCAAACGGGCCTCCCTCATTATACCATTGCCTTGTGAACGGGTTGGGCGTGCCTGCATGAGGCGCGCCTGTGTGCACATGACAAACACGATCGATTTGGGTTTACAGTGTAAAGAATCTCAAGTTTATACATTTTTAATAACGAAAATTTATTTAAGCATGATAGTTTAACAAAACAAATTACTTCACACAATTTCTGTTTATAAAAATCAAATAAATAATACAAAAAAACAAGTGTTGCGAGAATTTCAAATAGTAGGTGTCCGGTGGGTCTTTCAATTTAGTTTTGTACTCGCCAATGTAGAGAGGGAGGAGTCGCTTAGGTAGTCGCTTAGGTCGCTTAGAAATTTCTTTCTTTTCTCCTGAGGGTGCGTGGGAACCGACTCCAGAAAGGCAATGCCGTCCCAACATTTCGCTCGCGATACGGCTGCATAAATGAGCGGAAAGCCGCCAAAGCCGGAGGCGGGCAGTTGCACTAAAACCTGCAGAAATAATAGCAGCAAATGGCTAGTCAACTCCACAGCACAGGCATAATGTTAACTGCCAGACGTGACAGTAAAATGTTTTTCATTTTCAGTAAGTAATGAGAGAAGTAGTAAGTAATTAATATCTAGTGGAACTGCACTTGGTGTTACTTGTGCAAACAGAGAGGAGTGCGTCCTCGCCTTGCCTTGCCCTACCTTGTCGAAGCGGAGACCCTGCGCTGTGGGGACGGTGTAGGCTAAAGGATTGATCAGCGGCAGGCCGCCGTCGCCGCTTAAGGACTCGGGCCCCGACGGCACCCCTTGGAACTGAACTTCGACTCCATTGGCCGCCACACTAGTGACCTCGCCCTGCGACCCCGCCTCCAACCCCCGCCGTTGGGTGGTCGTCAAGACCACGGGCGCCCCGGGCCACAGGGTCACCCTCTCGAAGGGGCTGCCAGTCGCTCTGGCGAAAGTTTGCGCTTGCGCACCCGAGCCTGAAGAGCTGATCATCCTGCAACAAAGCGAACAACGGCGTCAGCAGAGAGCAAACAAACGCACCGCTCGCCATCGCGCCATTTCCGGTCGCATCAGCCAAAGGCACTTTACCTGAAGCTTTCGTTGTGGTCATCACGATCGTCACGGCTTACGAGCACTTTTGGCCCGCGTAGGAACTCCTCTTGCTCCGCAGGTGTCAGATTCTCCAGCCTGCGCCCCTCGTACAGGCTGCTGTCCGCCTCGGTCACGATGCCGCGTTTGAGCCGCTCAACCGCTTCGCCGAACGACTCGTCTTTGAAGTACGTCTTATGGAGCTTGATCACGGATGGGACTGATACTGAATGAGGTGGAGCTATGTCCAAGACCGGTCCCCAGGACACATCGTCGCCGAACATCACCAACATCCGTCCACCGAACGGTTCAGCGCAACCCTCCTGCAACAGTACCAATCTTATGAGAAACTACCATCACGCGGAAGTAACTTTACTGCATAGACGTGCGGGACCTCGCTGAATACCTGTCGGAAGCGGCTCAGTGCCATGGTCATGACGTGGTCGTTCACCTGGTGAACGTTGTCGATTAGGATGACTTTCACATCCCCCAGGCCCAAGCTGTCAAGGCTCTCCTCGACACTGTGCATAATATCTTAGTTAACTATCAACATATTTTCATTAGCTATTAACAAAGTATTTTGTAAATTTTCAACAGCGAACAAGGTGACCCGTCTACATCTACGACGTGATACCATTGGTAAAACAAAGATGGTATATCCGTCCTTTAAGAGGCAGTAGATGAGCCACCCTGAAGTTCGGCTGTCAATACACGTGTACTTTTGTATTTGTTTGTAGCCCTTACAAGTTGTTCTCAGGGCCCGCTGGCGGGTCGGATACGGGGAGGTTGAGGGCACGGTGGAACGTGCGCCCGCCGACAGCATCCGCTGCCGTGTTGGTGAGCGCGAGCACCAGCACGCTCTGCGGCCCCAAAGACTGCCGCGTGCGTGAAGCTATTTCCTGTGAACAGACACACACACCGTCACGACCGCCCAGGAGCAGCGCTCACCCAGCTGCTGCAGCCGGCCGCAGCTGCTTTGCTCTCACCAGCAGGAGGGTGCTCTTGCCCGACGCCGCAGGACCCTCGACTCGGATAAGTTTCGGTTGTCTCGTAAGTAGCATCTGATCAACCTGGTTGAGGACCTTCTCTTGCTCTGGATTCCACTCCATGGTCCTGCCAAAACAAGGAAAAAACGGGGACGTAAAAGCACACTGCTGTATTCTCTAAAAAATGAACAATGTACATAGTATGCTTTGGAAAATTAATACCCATTTTCTTCATTAAAATACATTTCAAACGGGCTACTATGTGATAGGGTTCAAAATTGACCAGCTAGATTTGTACGAAACGAAACGAAGGATTAACTTATCACAAACATTTGCACAAAAAACATTCAAACTCATTTATTGTGTATATAAGGTCGCAGAGCGCCTGATAGTTAGGCAACGTCTTGCATGCATTGCATGTGCGGACTGCTGGGCGGTCTACCCTGAGTCTCGCAGGCGCTCAGCTTCCGCCAGTTCCGGCAAGCGCACACCCCCCTTATTGTTGTTTGGGTACTACCCAAACCCCCCTGCTGTAGCTCAAGCTCTCTGTATCCAGTTGGTTGGTCGAGAGAAAAATAAAAATAAAATGGGGTTTGGGCTTAATTTGAAAGATAGTAGCTACAAATGTAGTAGGTCTGTGCAAAAGCTGGACCTTCTCAGACTGCTAAACGGTCTTGCAGGGCCTATTATTTGCAAAGTGCCGTAAAAAGCGTGCGAACCGGACTGCCATCTTTCCAGGCTCTCTGCGCTCGACTGGTCTCGTTTCCGGCGCTTGGGATTGGGAATTCCCTATTCCCCTTAGGTACCAAAATATCGCAGATTTGTGAAAGAATATGGCAAAGTATCAAAGACCGTTAGGAAAAACAAAACGCGTATAATTGTTAAACCTGCGACTGTACCCGAATTCTCGTCCGGTACGGCCGGAACCGTTCGTTCGGTTGGCTCTGCGGCCGTGGCGAGCCGCTCCAGCCGCTCAGGGCAGCCACAAATTCACGACAAGGACAGCACAGGTTGCAGGGCTATCCTCTCCCCCGCGGATTACCGCCGTCGCATGGGATGGGTGCGTATCCTCGGGACCCGCGGCATGTCCTGTCATCTCGCGGGGCGGTCGCGGTCGCGGCCCCCGCGGCGTCGCGGGTGCTGGTAGCAGCCGAGTGGCGGCCAGCGCGGCTCGCAACGGCCGCAGAGCAGACTTGCCAGGCCGTTTCGACAAAAATTCGGACAGACAGCAGGCACCGGATATGCAGGTTGCACGATGTAGAACGCGCCCTCTCCCTCCCCCGCCTCCTCCCCCCTCAGAGCGTGCTGCACCCTAGCGGCCGGAGCTGGAAGCAGCGCCGCCGCTTAGGCCTCAATTGCCTCAATGAGGCATAATTTGCAATGTACCGGGTGTAACTGAGAATGCGCAGCAGCGTTGCGGGATTGCATACCCACCAGGACTGCAGGGGCCATGGCCTCCCTTACAGGCCCTCACGGGCCCCCTTACGGGCGACTTAGGTAGGCAAACCCGCAGCACTGCTGCGCATTTACAGTTACACGTGTACAAATGTACCGGGTACCCGGTACAATTGGGGATTGTATTCTCTAACAAGCAATGAGAGCACCACGGGGCTAGAAAGTTAGCGAAAATAGGGTTGGAAAAACAACGTTTTTATTCGGTTAATCGACAGTCAGTGAATAATTTTCATCGAATTATCGGTTAACTTGTTCGATTTTCTATTGGTAGAAGCACAATTTCGGTGAAGACTAATCGATTAACCGTGGATTTGTTTTTTTCGGACAATCGAATAACCGTTAGTTTGTTCTTCCAACCCTAAGCGAAAAGTCACGGAGTCTTGGGTCTTGGCTACAGCAACATATTGACCCGAGAGGCAGCCTACAGGTTGGTGAATTTCCGACGTTCTGACACCAAATTTTCATATCGGATCACAGGATAAACCGCTGGCAACTAATTTCACTTGGAAAACCTACCGTTGATGAAAACTCTTGATGAAATAACCGCAAAATACCAACACGGGAGCGACACGATCGACTGAAGCAACACGGTCCTCCAGCTTGCGCCTGCAGCACCTGCAGCCTAGAGCTGAGTCAGCTGAGCCTCGCTGATCTGCTGACCTGGCGAATTTACACTGGTTGTTGCCAACCTTCACCTCTACGGACGAGGGCGCGTGAGCAAAATAGTAAAAAATGCGTATTATCAGGAAGAGTGGTGGTACCACTCACGTGAGACCGGCGAATCGTCATATCACAAACAGGTTCCCGCCCGAACTGGATAGACGTGCCTTTGTCTATTCAGCTTGTTCCCTCCCTTCCACCTCTTCCCTCCGGTTTTGCCAACTGCTAGTAACCGAATTTAGGTAACCTAACCTTCCCTGTGTCTCGCTCTGAATATTTTCGAGATTGTCTGGTCTTATAAATTATAAATTAGCGTTCTGGAAAATTTAACAGACCAAAACTGACGGAAAATAATCTTGCAGTAATCATTGTAATAATAACTTCAACGTGGTCGCGACTAGCAGCAGACCAAGAGCAGACGATATTGACGACGACGTCAACGTCCTCAACGTACACAAACACAAACCAACAAACCGAGGCACCAACAGCAGTAATTGTTGCATCTGCTCGCGAAACTTAATCTTGCGGCATTGCCCTATTCCTTATAGGTGTGTCTTTATGAAATCTGTCAAGTCTGGCGTTGTACCGTATCAGTAATGGATAGGGAGGACCGTTCATTGGAAGATTTTGATGGATCCACCCCAAGTTTTAGGGGAGCAACCTTACGTATACATCAAGAAGATAACCCCACCGCCGATAGTCTTGCGACTCTGCCAGACTCTCAGCCAAACAATGCGGGTATTTGGCCTAAATTCCTTTCAGTTGGAAGAGAGACGAATAATTTGTCACCCTCCGAAGTTGAGTCAGGTGAGCTTCAAATCATTATCTGAAAAAGCAAGGTTTTCTTATTGTTTTAACACAAAGGACAGAAATTTGTGAAGATGACATCAATTATGATGTCACTTGTCAAAATTCAGTCATCTTGAGTGGTAAAAAATGACATCAGGAGAATGTTAAATGATGTTTTCATAACGTCATTTCTGATTAGTCAAGATGACTAAAATTTTGACCAGTCATGTCAATTGGTGTTATTGTAACAAGTTTCTGTCCTTTGAGAAGTCACTAGAATTATCAATGCCTTCCACTTGACCAGTGTTTTTTTTTCTTTCTGTAGAGCTGTGGTTTTCTGATCCAAGAGCAAAAATATGATGATAGCACAATTCATGAACAGTACACATTCAAAAAGATTATTTCTAACCAATTTTCTTTGTGTATGTTAGTGTCAGGAACATCCAGAATGGACGTAGCTGCAATGCCTTGTCCGGAAGATCATCTTCGTAATTTGTTTGCTTCTCGTGAAGGATTGGTTGATCAAGCTGTTAATGATAGCACTGAAGCATTTGTAAACTTTGAATTAGATGGAGACATTTTGGGACGATATATTTTGACTGAGTATGCTTCAAAACATCATTGATCATAGCTATATCTATTATTCAATGTAATACTTATATAAATCTACTTTGCAGGATTAACATATGGGATGCTGAAAAAGAAAGATTAGTGCTTCTAACAACCAATTCACTTCTGGTTATAAAATTTGACTTCATAGCCTTGAAACCTTTAGAGGTTCGAAGAACACCCCTCCTACAAATTGATACAATTGTTGTTGGAGAACTTGTGTATCCCCCAGCATCACTTGTGCCGTAAGTACACTGAAAACATTCTAATTCACATTATTGTGCGTGATGTCCAGTGACGTCTGCTTTGCTCATCATGTGATGTTATTCCTTGCATGGAATGCCTTGCCTTTTGTTTGTTGAAAATTATATGTAGGCGTATGAATGGTCTGGCATCAGGTGTTTCAACCGTTGTGAAAGGTTGTCTCCTTCATTGGACCCGTCCCTCAGAGTTATGCCACACTGCCTTGGATGTATCCCAGTTTGAACCCAGGTACTCACTGCATGATAGTTATTTCACTAATAGAATGTCTCATCTTTTGTGCCTGTTCATATTAACTTTGATTTATGAGCTGCTGCGCTTTTTATTTTGTATATGTATTTAACAATATAGAAAGCGAGAATTGCAATTGGGCTTGTTCTGTGTATCTTGTGATAGAGTGCACTACATTTTGAAGATAATCAAGTTACCTCACCATATATTTTTTTAATCCATTGTATGAAAATCCAGGGCTATTAATCATTTTATATATTGCCAGAGCTCGTGATATGCAAGGTCTGCGTATCATGTGGAACAACGGAGAACCAATTGCCTTTTCTAAAAAATGGAACCCGTTTAACAATGATATTCCCTTTCTTACTTTTGCCTCACATCCTTTACTGTCACATCAAGGTAGGCATAAAATTAACTGTGCACAATCTCTTGAGTCAATTAATAAGAATAATCATATCATGAAGATCTTGTAATTTGTTTTTGTTTTTTGGTCCATTAGATGCATCTTCTAAAGAAGGAGATAATCAAAATCCTAACATGTTTGTTAGTTATGATGTTGAAAAATTATCTCAACAACTTTTAACAGCTATGGAAAATTTGCAAAAGTCAACCAAGTGTTTGGTCCAGCATAAGCCAATTCTTCTTCACAATTACTTATCAATTGGATCTCTGATCCACAATAGAAATTCCCTGGGATTTTTCAAAGTACGGGGTAGATTCAGTTTCTGAAATATCTGTGTGCTGGAAGCTAAATTTACATTCATCAGTACATAGTACAATGGTTTTTTTTATTCTTCCATAAAGAATTGTCTATATTTTATTCTGTGTCTGTCATGTTTACTAACGGTAGTGCTCCTTGTCAAGCACACCTGGTAGTTTTCATTCTACCTGTGATGTGTAAAGTCTACTCAGAAAACAGGTGACATTTCCAATCAGCATTATTATGAAAAGGACATTTTTACATACATATCAATACTGGGCATTTAGTATTTCTCTTTTGTCCAAATATCTTCTATAAATATTTTTAGTGCTTCGACATTAATAATTAACAACTGTTCTGACAATCTTTTTCTTCAATTTCATGTCTGAAGTTCAAACTCATCTCTTGTATGTTTGAAATTTTGATCTCTTGATCAACTTTGGTTTGCTGAGTACATATGAATTGTTGACTAGTTACCAGTAATTTTAATTCTTAACCAACTTTTAAGTAGGTAAACAGTACCTAATTTTGCCAAAAAGTTGTGTCAAGATATGTTTTTGCCTATGTGCCAATGAAACTATTTCCTGTACTTTTTACTTATTCCTCTTCTTAAAAAAAAAAACTACCAAAAAATTATATGATATATAATATATCAAATACCAATGTTTTGTGTGATTTGGGGAATGAACTTGAAGTGGGGTGGGTTGGTTGTTTGGTTTTTGTTGCATTTTTACATCTGCACTTGTTTACCAACATGATCTATCAGGTTTGTGATTACCTAGTTACTGCAATGGGGTTGTGCACTAGTATTTGTTTCTGTGATAAAAGATAAATGTTTTTGTTTTGTTCTGTTTTATATTCAGTGTAATTAAAACATTTGTGGTTCATTTTGTTCCAATTTTTCACCCTAAAATTCTTGGATTGTAGCAGCGATTTTTTTTTTTCTCTTTAATGATTGGAGTCACAACAAAGAAGTGGGTTCTATACAAACACTGATCATTTACATTTTGTTTTATTTCTGCTCAAGTTTAAGATGGCTAACAGTCTTGTCATTATTACATCAGCAAATAAAGCTTAATGTACAGTATATGAATAAACAAAGTTATTCTTTGATTAGCAGGTTGCTGGTGAAAGGGTAAACACTCTCTTACTACCAAGCAGCCCCATAAAAGCTCATGAGAGTTAAATAACTAACAAGATCACATACAATGAATGCCTGTAGAACAAGACATTTTTGAATGGCACACACAAAGGGTGATGTATGATCAATGACTTACTTTCTAGGCACACAGATTGCTATTTGAGAAGTACAGCAACAGAGGTGATGGTTTAATTTCACAAACATCTATTTGAGGATAGTGCCTCACACAATGATTTTTTTAAGGTTTTGGGGCAAAATAGATTTCCCAGAATATCACTAATTACATTGCAAAAGTTAGCCCCAAAGAGCATACTACAAGGAAGACCTACTTAACAAAGGGTACATCTCTCAAGAAATTTTTATGAATTTGTTTCGTTATGAAGGCCATGTTTTTGCTTTTTTCTGCTAATTGAAGAGAAGCAGCCTGACATCAATGACTTTGAAAGTGTATTTGGACATAACTAGGGCAGAGTTTTTACATCGGTAAGTAATATAAGAGCTTTCTGTAGGATACTGGAATCATATTCCAAGGGCAACATTAAAGAAATTATTATTGTGAAGAAGCGGAAAGTAGTATTGAGAGCTGTAAAAAGGGGGAGGAGAAGCAGTTTCTTTAAATTTGACAACTTCAGATGAAAGAAAAAGGCGCACACAAAATATGTCTGCTTGCACAAGACTGCTTTCCTGATAAGAGTATAACAATAGAAATGCAGTATTACCAAACATTTTCATAACTGTAGAAGAAAAAAATTGGAATTTGAGCAAAACCATAGCCATGATTGAATTAATCCTATTCAATAGTTACGTAATTAATTTAATAGATGCTTTAAAGTTCAATGTTAAGTTGGTTAAGATGGTTTCATCCTCTCCAGGTTAAACAATATATCCTCTTCCAAACCTTATCCACATTCTCACAATACTGATGAGAAGGCACACAAAATATACACACAGAACCGGTAATCTAGACAAGTACATTCTTTTTAAAAGTTTAAAATTATTGTTGTTGGTAAAGGGTGAAGAGGTATATTTAATCCACAAAACTTGAAACAAAAATCGATCAATATAGCTTGGCAAAACAATAAAATAAGAATAGATTCACATATAGAGGCATAAAGTTAACTGGAAAGGTGTCTGACGTGACTGAATTATAGTCAGTAAGTCATAAAGACTAGATGAGTATTGCAATCCCATATAACTAGTCGATAATTCCACTTCTGACATGCTTCAATTCTTCAGTTTAATTTAGTAGAGAAAATTGTAATAACTGAAAATATATTTACTATAGAACATGTATGAGTTTAAAGTAAAGCAGCAGAGGAAACATTTTTGCACTGTTTCCTTTACAAATCATACATGCCCTTAGATATTAGCCTCACAAGATATAGCACAACAAAACAAGGATCTGTATGAAACACTGAATTGACTTAAATGACCCTCCAAGCTTGTACTTCACAGGTTACTTCAAAAATTCTTAATCATTCACGTGATGTATTTTTTAAAAAGGGGGAAGGGAAAGCAATAAAAGTCTCTTATTTCAACAGATAACAAAAATAAAACGATAACCTCAACATTCAAATTAGGAGACCTTAAGCACTTGTTTAACCAAAACAGAAGGAACTCTGCCATTAAATAGTTGTAACAGCATGGGGCATTCATTAATCCCACTGGGTACATGTCAGTACAATTAGACCTACTAAAGGCATTACTAATGGACACAAACATACAGACACACATACAAACTTACTTACGCACAAATACTTCTATCTACACACAAATAATTATCATACATTCACTGGCACAGACACTCGTAAAGGTCAAAATGATACCCTAAATCTATGTAACAACATCTTCAAGGTCCAAAATTTCACCAACAAATGGTGAGATATCAGTGACACGTTCAGCATGTGTTTTGCAGAATGGATGCTCCAAGAGCTGATTATAATTAGGTCTGGCAGTATAGTCTTTTTGTAAGCTACAAAAACAGAAGAAAAAATATTACAGCAATCTCTTTGTATTCAAAAATGTATTGATATAAGAAGAGTAGTTCTTACCACTTTTCAATAAAATCTTCAAATTCACAGGTAAATTTCCCTGAAGGCAAACGTGGGGGATCATCCTTAACAACCTGTTTCAACTGTTCAAATGGAGTACCCCATGTGGCATATGGAAACTTCCCAGTAGCAAGTTCAAGAAGAGATATACCCAAACTCCAAACATCTGATCGAATATCATAGTGTGATGGATTGCCGGATGGATCAATGCGTTCAGGCTGTAAAAGCAACTTTACTATATTTTTTGAAGCTCAATAAGTATCTACTGGTACTCACTTCAAATGATACGAAAAACTCACAGCCATATATGGTTTGCAGCCAGCATCAATTGTCTTTGCAACAGAATCCACAAGGTACCCTGATATACCAAAATCACACATCTTTACCTCTCCACGTCTATTAATTAGAATGTTAGACGGCTTAACATCACGATGTATGACACGTAGCTTTGAGTATAAATAATGAAGAGCATTTACAACCTGTAAAATAAGAAATCCTGACCTTTTAGAACACAGTGCTGACAAGATCTAATATCCACAGTACACTTTGAAGACTAGATTTCTATTTTTAAAAGGAGGTAAAAAAGTAATCTTACAGCAACTGTAATTTTCCCCAAAATATCTTCAGGGATACTTCTTTGATGGGAATATGCACGAGTATAAAATTTGTCAAGACTCATATCCATGACTTCCATACATATCCAGACATCCCCCTCACGGAAAAGTGCTCCATAAAATTGAACAGTATATGGACAGTCTGAAGAACGCATTGAGATATCAAGATCCATCAAAAGGCGCTTCTGCTCCTGGGTGTTGACAGTTGCTGCTATGCGCTAGGACAAAAACACACAAATATCAATTTTTCTGATGGAATTTATGAATGGATAATAAATTAGCAAAGATTACTAATGGTTGAGGTTCAAATCATGAGCATTTTGCTTGAGATAGTTCTTTGCTATTGCTTTTTTTTTTAAATCAATAATGCACACGACTAATTATTTAAAAGCTGTACTTAGTTAGAAGGCTTAATCCGGATTGCAAACCAAAAAAGCCCAAACCCAGAGCAAGAGCCTAAAGCAAAAGCTTCCAGATTAGCTCTCCTAACTAAATGCAGCTAAAGAGAAACATTTCATTGTCACGAATGGCATAACAAATCTTAAGCTAAGTAATTAGAAACATTGTTCTTCAGATATTCTACTTGTGTTGCACCTACAAAAACTGAAAAAGTAAAGACTTAAGTCTAAAGGTATGTCTAATGAAACTAATGACAGATACTGGCAACATATTTAAAATGTTATTTACATCTAATGCACTGTAGATACCATGCAAAAATATAATGTAAGCCAAGTGCTATATGGTATGACAAACCATTAGGACAAAGGCTGTGCAGAATGGAACAAAAACAAAATGCGTAAAATGTAAATAAAAAAATAAAATATACATCATCGAAGACTACAATTGCAAGCATTGGAGCTATTTGAAACAATCTAATCAAGACTTGTCGACTAAGAATGACAATATATTTACTGTAGAAAAGTTCTAACAGAAGTTCAACAAAGTTGAGATATTTTATTTAATGTTAGTTGGGTGGACTGAAAGGCAAATTCCTATCAACTAGGCCCTTGGTTTAATTTTTTTTATTCCAATTCCCAGTTAATGTACTACTCTAAAAGTGCGGTGCATTACATGCCACTGTTTATCAAAAATGTCAAAACTTATCGCAAAGTTCAAAAACAAATACTTTTTTTTCCTAAATCTCTTTGTTTGAGACAAAAAAATGAAATTATATCAAATACAGAGAAGCTGCATATTGTCTTACAAATTTCGATGCAATACTGGAGTTTTTCATGCAGAATTACCGAGCTCTTGCAGTCCCCCGCAGAATGTAGCAAATTCTCAAAGTTTACTAATAGATCATGTTGTTCCTGCATACTTAAAGTGGCTGATATCCTCTAGCAGCACAAAAAACCAGCAAATTGAATGAAAATACTTTAAAATGATAAGTACTTCATAAAACTTTCGTACTGTTGGTGAAAAACTATATAGAATAAGTTTGCTTTTGTTCAAGATTTAGTGTCATCATAAAAAATAGATGCTTTACAATTAAAGAATGCCAGAAAAGAAGAGAAATGGAACAATTAATCTGATGAGAAATTCTGTAGGGGCTAGTTGTAATACTTACTTTGACAGCCATGACAGTTTGACTTGGTATGTGACGCATTTTCTCCACAATGCCATAAGCTCCACGACCAAGATCACAGATTTTCTCCAAATCATCAGCTTCAACCACAAATGTTCTATCACCTATAGTTATAGTCGTCTTTTTATCAAGATTTCGTGGAGGAGTCCTGAGAAAGTATGATTTGGTTGTTAATTGGTTTTAACATAATTCCTGTATTTTAAGTGTGTACTGCCTGACTCATGCCCCTTCAAACAATCTCATGTCTTTACAGGTTAAAACATCAGAGAAGTAAAGAGACTTCAGAAATATCCTACTTACACAGCCACTGTTTCTTCAGGCACTTTAATTTTTAGTCCCATTGGCTTACGTCCTAAAAAATGAAATTTCAGAAGAATTTTTGAATGCTGTAACACTTAAAATAAGTAGGAGGTTTAAATTAAAATCGTACCCGCCATTTTTAAAGATAAATGAAAAAGTAGTCGTCAGTCCTCCTGTCTCAGTCAAAAAAGTGTCATCTCTGTGACTATAAAAATGAATCTGTAGAAAAACTCAAATTTCACTGATGTGTTGAAGTCAACCGAGTTTCAGGACCAGTTTTATATTGCCTAGAAAATTGTAAACACACCAGATTAATATCTTAAAAGTGGAGAATAACGAATTTATCGTCAATAGAATATGAATGCAGAGTACATTGACAATAACAACAAACTTCAATCAAAAGAGGGCTGAGAGAAAATTTAAGGTTATCCTTCCAAACCAAGGTCAGGCTCTAAGTTTGAATGAACAATGCTAGTTGTGATTGACAAGATTACGAGCTCATTTCGATCAAAATCAATCGTTTCATTTTTCAGTTTACAGGACGGAAATTTTTCAACGTACATTACAAAGATATGAGCAGCAATCTATATTGGCCATCAGAGCTAGGTTTTGATTTTCACTCCAACCCCAACACACCGACGACAGCCAATCAAAAACCTCGTATTTTACTTTATTTGTCCTGCACTTGGGAGGAGTAGGAAGAACAGGGTATGAAAAACTTCCTTCATATCCGCAGATTTGGCTTACAACAGTTTCATATCTGAAGAGGAGGAGGAGAGCCTCATGAACTTGTTCTTCTTTTGTTGATTTTAGGGCAACCTGGTGTAAGCATGGAACGCTGCAGAACATCTCCGTAGACTTTGAATTTTTAAGGCCTCACCTTACAGGAATTGAATTTGATAGTGCCATCAGATTCTCATCGTCCCAGCTGGAATAATTTGTGCTTAATCGATTGTTATCATCGTTTTTCATCATGGGAAACATACAAGCAGTTCAAGCTGCGAGTGCTCCCCCTCCCCCCACCATGCCGCCGCCTCCACCAGGCATGCCTCCTCCTCCTTCAGCAGGACCTGAAAAGTCAGAAAATGCCCAATTTCAGCCCCCTATGCCTCTGCCACCAGACTCCTCATCTGTCAAGAATCCAGGAACCATGGAAGACCTCCATAAACAATGCAAAGGTTACTTTCCTAATTTTTCCTACCATTTGCTGATAACTTTTGAAAGGTTAGGTTGCTTCGTTATTTGTCAATTTTTTCTTATTGTTCTAATGGTTTCTTGTTTGAGAGTAAATTTTATGGTGGACATTATATAACTTTGCAATCTCATACAGCTTTCTCCTTGTCTGGTGAATCCATTACCTTCAATTTGAGTGATATTACCAATGATGGTCTCTGTTCTGCTTGTCAACTCTTGAGCCTCACACTCCAATTGTAGTTTGTCATTGAGGATTTATTTTTTTATTCATCTTGAAATCTTTCCATAAGGCTGTACTCTTTTCCTTACAACACAATTTCGGATTGTTCAAATTTCATTTCTGCTATCTGTGACTTTTTTTAGCAGATGATACCTTGAAACACATTATACTTAACTTAAATATTATACATCAATAATAATATCAAGGTGTCAGTAGCTTTAACTCTCGATAGGGTACAAGAGTGGAAGCAATCTAAAGGAGAAGAGACCTAGCGCAAACCAGCAAACACAAACAACATCAACAATAATTTTGGGCGCTGGGGGACTGGCTGTTTTAAACTCTTTTACAAACTTTTGTTCTACAGATTTTTTTATTATGGTTATTTCTATGTTTCAGATGTGTTTCCAACCAACTTTGAGGGTGCAAAACTTATGGTGAACAAGGGACTAAGTAACCACTTTCAAGTTTCACATACTATTAATTTGAGCTCTGAAACGCCCTCTGGTTACCGTTTTGGAGCCACTTATGTTGGCACCAAACAGTTTACATCAAATGAAGCTTTTCCCATTTTGTTGGGTGACATAGATCCAAGTGGAGACCTCAATGCCAACATCATCCATCAATTCACACCAAAGCTTAAAACAAAATTTGCAACTCAGGTAAAGATTGATACTACAAGATGTTTTTAAATGACCACACCTCAATGGCCAAAATCTTATTTCTTCTAACTTTGTGAATTAGGTCAAGAAAAGTAAATTCAATGCTGTCCAAATGACAGCTGATTACAGAGGCTCAGATTATACTTTCACAGCTACTGCTGCCAATCCCGACATCATAAATGAATCAGGTAAACGTCATACTTGATCTGTTAGATTATTGTAATCTTATGTTTTTATTGATCATGATTTTTTGAAATCCTTTTTTTTTTTTTTTTTTTTTTTTTACCTTTTTGAGGGGTGGGGGATTCTTGTCTGCTAAAGCTGTTACCACTGCAATTACTTCTTATTACAGGTGTTCTGGTTGGACATTACTTGCAGTCCGTTTCAAAAAGTACTGACCTAGGAGCAGAACTGGCATATCAGTATGGCCCACAGGTTCCAGGAGGAGAAATTGCTGTCTTATCAATAGCTGGCAGGTATTCAGGTCAGTGTCTATCAGCTAAATGTCAAATTAAATTACTGTTGCCCTCTATGTAAGATTTGATGAAGTTTTTTGATTTGATACCAATTCATTTTATTTATTTTTAGGGAAAGACTATGTGTTTAGTGGTACTGCAGGTACATCTGCCTTGCATTTATGCTACTTTCAGAAGGCAAGTGATCAGCTTGCTCTTGGTGTTGAATTTGACACAAATTTCCGCATGATGGAGTCAACAGCATCCCTTGCTTATCAAATTGATGTTCCTAAAGCAGACCTATCTTTCAAAGGTGAGATATCCTGACATAGTGGCTTTCTTAATTCTTTCTCGCTGGTTTTAATATTACTTTTGTAAATTTTAGGTATGGTTGACACCAACTGGACTATTGGCGGAGTATTAGAGAAAAAACTGACACCATTACCTTTCTCATTTGCCCTGAGTGGGTTGCTTAATCATAGTAACAGTAACTTTAGGTTGGGATGTGGGCTCATGATTGGATAAAATATAGGTGTTATATTTTTTTTTACCTTAGAGGACTGTAATTTGACATTTGGTTGTGCATTTGGCTTGGGCATACAAATACCATATTAATTTGGTGTTCTATTGATGTGAGGATGAATTAGCCGACAACCATGTGATGTCCTCTCACATCTATTGAGATGTCGTTTTTTGCCTTAATAGTCATTTGATGTGAGTTCAATCCTCTTGTCTGCCATGAGTTGCTTGAGCCTTATGCTGCCCAATGCATTTATGAACTCATTCATTCCCCATGCCAGATCAGTGTACTATTTTGCGCTTGTCAACGTTTTTGAATTCATGTAGCATAGATGTAGGATGAATAGGATTTTACAGACAGGCAAGTAATGCTTTGGCATAATCCATGCGAAATTTCTTAGCTCTACCAGAGTGAGTTTTTTCAATACATTGCCCTGCAAAAAAATTATTTCTTAATTTTATTTGTTATCATCAACCTATCCATTTTTCATAATTATTTATGTGTAGAACTGAGGTGCAAATTACGTTTTATCTCAAATTCAAATGTTCCAAATACATTTCTCGTTAAATTTGGGGCTTAACTTAGGCATATTGTTTTTACTTGCTTTCCCTACAATCAGTACTTTCCTGTACAAGCTCAGATTATGAAATTGTTAAACATGCTTGAGATATAGGTACAGCACACTAATGTTCTAGTCACTGTTATTCAATTCTGTTGAACTAGTTTTAAAGATACCTGAACAAATCTAGTTTTAGAAAGGCCTGAACAGCTTAAAATCCTGAGCTATTTGAGAGGTCTTTTGTTTGGAAAATTTGTTAAACATATTGGTAATGGAAGAAATGAGCATGTCTGTCTGTCATAGCAAGACTAAAGGGTACAAGACCAAATGCTGGGGTAATCATACAGTTCTCTACTACTCATTGTTACAATCACTTCAGGGTGGGGAAGTGTGACAGATGTTTCAGTATGTTGGTGGAAGCTGTTTGACCACTTGATGGGGCAAAGTTTGGCTCATGTTCATGTTTTATCTGACTCATCGTGTCTTGTCAGAGTGGCTATAGGGTAACTATTGAAAATGAAAATAAATGAGACAGTAGTGACAAAGATTTTTCTGTTTGTAACTACTCCCAATCCCCGACTTTTGTTACGATTTGAGCTAGTAGTGCAACGCAAGGTGGGGTTTGGACAAGTTAAGGACAAGCAGTCATCAAATTTGGGAGTGACTTGACCAGTCTGGTTCAGGTCATTAATACCATGGAGAGTTAAAAGTTAAATTGGGGGGAGTTAGTAATTCAGTTCAGTCTCTACAGGCCTGAGTTTGAGGCCCCATACCAGTGTGACCTCAATGGGGCCTCAGACCTTCTGAAGTGTGTACGTTTTGTGAATGAACTATAGTAGCAGTGTACTTCAATTTGGAAAAATTTACTAAAACATTGAAGACAACAGAAATAACTTTGAGACCGCACCAGTTTAATTTTTTATCTTCAAATAATGGTTTGACAATGACTCTTGCTACTTTGCCTGGCACATTGCATCTCAAATATCACTTCAGTATAAAATATATCTTGAAATGCAGTTTGACATAGTTTTCACATGATCTAAAACTCTGCAAAGTAGAAATACAATTTCATAATGCAATATTTAAACTATGTACAAAAAATACAGGAGTATTAATTATTCGTGGTTAAAGACAATATCAAAATAAACATAAGGTTTACTCTCCTTCCCATTTTGGATTCCACTTCACTTTCTTTGGATGAGTATTACTGGAAAAGGTGTGAAAAGTAAAAATCACATTTGTACCGGTCAACGTTTCTTTTCTCTTGGAAAATAACGATACAATATCACAACGAGCAAGACTTATGAGCTATTTCAATGTGAGAATATCACATTTGAGGTAAGTGACATACTAAACATTAACGCATACAGTACGCTCAGCTCACTTGTAAAACAACATAACATGCATAACAGATAAGCAAGAGCAAGAGCTCTATCCAGTAACAATTGTTCTATAACTTTGTATTGGCTGAAGACTGCTTGTGTATTGCTTATCCTTAAAGAAATCTGTGCTAGTAAACAATAAAGAAAACATTCGTAAATGAATAAAACCTCAACATTAAAAACAGTGCAATAACCATTTTTCACAGACTTTAATTTTACATGTAAGGCCAAATGCATAGGACAAGATTGCAATTATAAATCAGCCTTAGACTTAAATTTGTAGATGAAAAGCATTAAATAATGGTGCTTTAAAATTTGACAATAAATCAAAAAATATTGCGTATTTATCCACAGCACCTTTAATACTGCTAGTCATCTATGTATATGATCCATTTACGTATTTAGTGGTATCATATCAACAGTAAATCAACCATTTCTCATTCAGAAGAATTGAATATTGGTCACAGAAAGTATTTATTGTGACATACTAATGTGTAAACTATCATGTTTTAACATACTCCTTAACAAAAAAGCAGGTACCCATAATATAAAATTATGAAACAGTACACAATGAAAAGTTAAAAGTTTTCAAAAGTTAACATTTACACTGGTATAACATAGATCACTTGAAATAAAGATCTTGTAGGAATTTCTACATAAAATGGCTGTTGCTGATGCCAAGTAAGTATTCACTAAATAAATACAGTTCTATTGACTGGGAAATTCCTGAGACATGCATATGTTTACAGAACATAATTTATCTTATTCAGTTGTTTGTGGCTTTTTTTGTTGTTAAAAAAAAAAACAAGAATCAGAAAACAAACATGTTCTTTTGATTGAGACAGCAGAAAAGTCAATGTTTGCCTAACAAACTTCCTCCCACCTCAGTCTCTGAAGGTTGAACATATTAAAGCAAAGCAATACCCTGCATCACAGGCTTAAACAGCAAAATACATCACAACCTCCAAAGCTCATAACTAAAAACCTAGCCCAAGAATGTTAGAGGCATATGATACATGATTTCTAAAGATAACTATGAGGGAGGTGTAACAGGTATAAATCCAGTTTTGAACTTTGGTAAACAGAGCCCAAATTTACTTTCAATACCCTGGAATATAGGAAGCGCAACTTGATACCCTCCAATGTGATCTGGATTGGTTGATTTCACTTCATCTGCAATTCCCACAGCTGGCACATTTAGTTCAGAACCAGTCGGACGCCTATAAACAAGTATTTATAGTTAAATATGGTGCTCTTAAAACTTCCAAATATGTACCGCATATTGACAGTAAAATTACTTACGTTCCACCAAAATCAACATAAAATAATCGTTGAAGAATTTCATAGGTTAGTAGAGTAACTCCAAATTGAGGAGAAGAACGGCAAACTCGGGCTGTGAAAATTTTCAGAAGTATGGACCACATTATACAAAGGTCAACACTTTTTAGTAAGAGTTTATATTTAAAATTAATTTATTCTTTGCTTACCAACTGATCCCTTCCAGAAAGCTCTTGGTCCTTCTTCACGCATAATTTTTCCAAATGCATCAATTACTCCTGTGTAGGTAGTTTGTCCTTGTCTTGCTACAACCTGCATATAAAAAATACATATATTAATAGTACTTATTTTTAAACGTCACTTCTTCATCCCAACTTGTGCTGTATAGGTTTAATAATAAAGAATAAGAACATGTGACCTAATATGTCCAATTAAAGATAATACAATGCATACCTGAAGGCGAGTTTTTATGACATCAGCAGGAGTTACAAGTGATGCAGCTGGAATTCCAGCAATAGCACCAGCAAGCAAGAGTGTAAGGGGATGGTTATACCCATTTTCGTCAGCAAGCTTAGCCTTTGTGTGGGCGTAGGCAGGGAAGTATATAGCACTGAAAGGGATATCTCGCAGAAAACATGCTTTTGCTCCCTATGAAATAGAGGCATATAATAGTAAATGGTAGTTTAAGATTACTAAAAGTAGTAATTCAGTATGTTAACAAACTACTGACCTTGTATAATCCAAAGAAACCAAGTTCTTTAACAACAGACAATGCACTTATTTTTGTTGTACTTGCTATTTCTCCAGCAACTTGAAGACGAATCTTCACAATCTCAAGTGGGTTTGTGAATATAACTTGAGAACCTCCAGCCTATGACAAAAAGTTTGTACCTCTATTACCTCTTGTACATTAAACTAACCTGTTTGAATTTTAAAATCAATTATTGTTTACATAAGACTTACACATGCACCAGAAAGGATCTCTCCCCATAATGGAATGTTGCCTTTCTTATCAGTGAATTTGTCTCTGACCAGGTCATTTACCTAGAATTCAAAATATTTCTGTAAGCTGTACTGAAAAATATTTATTTCAAAGACTCAAATTAACCAGTGAAAAATATGATGGCTTGCCGTTAGTTTGATAGCTTTCTCTGGTGCTACCCCCATTAGCTGAGGAACAAGTCCTCTGTAGAGTCCAGTTGCACCTTCATGACGGATAACTTTCTTAAAGCAATCCATTGAATTCCGATACATTAGCTCACCAACAAATGAACCTGATCTTTGATTCTGCATTCTAGTTTTTACTAAATCAATGGGATAGACTGCTGTGGCTCCAACCGCTATTTGATAATAACAATTATTGATTAAGGGCAAATATGAAATAGACTTAAATGGAACACAATATAAGAATGTAGGCGTTTTAAGCTCAGAAATTTACCTCCAGCAAGGGCACCAAGAGTGAAACGGTAGGCGCTTTCTAAAACTTGAATCAAAGCTCCACGTTCCTCTGGGCTCTAAGGATATAAAAATAAGGAGTAAATTATTATAATAGACCGAAAAATCAACTGAATTTCAGAAGTGAGTTCCGCACTTACTGATACAGCTTTGATTTCTGCTAATCGGTTAGTGATTTGCTTAAAATACTGCTCTGGAGCAATAGCTTGAAGGTCACTGTAAACTATTCGGCTGAAAATAAAAACAAAAATTAACTCCACCTGATAATCGGTTAAGAGGAAAGCAAGGCGTTATTGAAGGCAACAATTTTATTTTCAAATACACTGTACACAAACCCAAACCAACTATGATGATCCTCATGGGAGACTGATATGCTGCATTCCAAAAGCCAGCAAAAATTGAAAAGTTCCCTCATAATTTACAGCATATGGTAAAAATGTGTCTAAATCACACACATTTTAAACAACACACTGAAATACAAATTACTTCTCACCTTGTTTGATGGAGAAGGTGGCAAAGGACGAAAAGAATATCAACTTCAAGGGGGGTGATCTGAGACATCATCTGTGCTGAGTGAAGGAATTCCTCTGTAAAAGTAGAAGAAAAAATAATTTAAAACCAAAATTAGTTATTTTTTGATTTAAAGTTAGGTAAAGAAATGTATCAGCAGTGTTCATGCAATATTATAGGTGAGGAAACAGACCTTTTGTTACTTCTTGGTTTCTGTTTCCACCAGTTGCATTCAGGTAAATTCTTTTGATGAGTTCCATATTGTTGAGTAAGGAGTTAAATGCCATAAAGTATGGGAAGCTCACCCGTTGTCCACCTGTTCCACCAGATGCAGCCTAGGATAGAGAACATTATTAAATTTTGAAGTTTTGTAAGACTCTTACTATGGATGTATACCTACAGCGACAAGATTAGATTTAACATCTTTTGTAAGCAAATGGCTCTTAATGGAAACCATAATGTCCTGAAAGTCCAAGGCCGAAATGAAGCCTGATCCATCTTTGTCAGATTTTCGGAAAGCTTCCATAGCATAAACCTCATGGAAATCCTGTGAACCGAGAGAACAAATTATGTATATGTAAAACAAAGACAAATATTTGTTTATTATTTTCTTTAATACAGAAACTTACATGCAGAAGTTGACTGAACTCTGAGTAAGAGATGAGTCTTTTCTTATCCTTGCCAAAGTACAGTTTAATGAAGTTTCCATCAAAATTGAAGGGCATACGCTGATGAAGAGTTGTTTTGCGAACCACTTCGACAAATTCCTCTACAATACAAGGTGAATAAAAAAATTTATTAAATAAGATTTAACTGTTATAACAACTTTTGGGTGGCAATTTCAGCCATCAAAGTATTTGGATTCATTATGACCATGACCAGTGACCAGTACCCACCAAATGACACCATTCCATTTCCATTTGTGTCAAAAAGTTGGAAAGCAGTTTTGTATAATGCGTCTGGAACACACAGTAGGCCTTCAAATGCTTGAAATTCTGGGAATGATATAAGTCTGAAAGAGAATTTTAAAAATTAACATTCAGTGGAGTTTTTGATCAAGAAACATTGACATAGGTACAGTACACACATACCCATCTTTGCTAGTGTCAATAATTCCACCCAACAACTTTACAGATTCCTCATTGAAATCTTTCTCAGGGATGAATCGAAGGTAACGTTGAATGAAGTCACCAGCTCGCATATATTTTACCCCATTTACTTCTTCGGATGCATACTGGCATAAAAAACATAATAGAGAAAAGCAGTCCACTTAAAAAAAAAAGGCAATGTATATAGTTGAAAAATTAAATTGAGAATATGTTACCTTATTGAATATCTCCTGCAGCTGTTCAGTACTAGCACGCTTTAGGTACCCTGCACTCTGCAATAAATAAACAAAAGAAACACAATCATTAAAAAATTCACATATTTTTAATTT